ATAATAAAATACTTAGGAGTATATCTACCTAAAGAAACAAAAGACCTATATGTAGAAAACTATAAAACACTGATGAAAGAAAACAAAGAGGACACAAATAGATGGAGAAATATACCATGTTCATGGATTGGAAGACTCATTGTTGTGAAAATGGCTATATTACCCAAAGCAATCTATAGAGTCAATGCAATCCCTATCAAGCAACCAACGGTATTTTTCACAGAACTAGAACAAATAATTTCACAATTTGTATGGAAACACAAAAAACCTCGAATAGCCAAAGTAATCCTGAGAAAGAAGAATGGAACTGGAGGAATCAACCTGCCTGACTTCAGGCTCTACTACAAAGCCACAGTCATCAAGACAGTATGGTACTGGCACAAAGACAAAAATATAAATCAGTGGAACAGAATTGAAAGCCCAGAGATAAATGCACATACCTATGGACACCTTATCTTCGACAAAGGAGGCAAGAATATACAATGGAAAAAAGACAACCTCTTTAACAAGTGGTGCTGGAAAACTGGTCAACCACTTGTAAAAGAATGAAACTAGAACACCTTCTAACACCATACACAAAAATAAACTCAAAATGGATTAAAGATCTAAATGTAAGACCAGAAACTATAAAACTCCTAGAGGAGAACATAGGCAAAGCACTCTCTGACATAAATCACAGCAGGATCCTCTATGACCCACATCCCAGAATACTGGAAATAAAAGCAAAAATAAACAAATGGGACCTAATGAAACTTAAAAGCTTTTGCACAACAAAGTAAACCATAAGCAAGGTGAAAAGACAGCCCTCAGATTGGGAGAAAATAATAGCAAACGAAGCAACAGACAAAGGATTAATCTCAAAAATATACAAGCAACTCCTGCAGCTCAATTCCAAAAATAAATGACCCAATCAAAATATAGGCCAAAGAACTAAACAGACATTTCACCAAAGAAGACATATAGATGGCTAACAAACACATGAAAAGATGCTCAACATCACTCATTATCAGAAAAATGAAAATCAAAACCACAACGAAGTACCATTATACGCCAGTCAGGATGGCTGCTATACAAAAGTCTACAAGCAATAAATGCTGGAGAGGGTGTGGAGAAAAGGGAACCCTCTTACACTGTTGGTGGGAATGCAAACTAGTACAGTCACTATGGAGAACAGTGTGGAGATTTCTTAACAAACTGGAAATAGAACTGCCATATGACCCAATAATACCACTCCTGGGCATACACACCAAGGAAACTAGATCTGAAAGAGGCACGTGTACCCCAATGTTCATCACAGCACTGTTTATAATTGCCAGGACATGGAAGCAACCTAGATGCCCATCAGCAGGCAAATTGATAAGGGAGCTGCGGTACATATACACAATGGACTATTACTCAGCCATTAAAAAGAATTCATTTGAATCAGTTCTAATGAGATGGATGAAACTGGAGCCCATTATACAGAGTGAAGTAAGCCAGAAAGATAAAGACCAATACAGTATACTAACGCATATATATGGAATTTTAAAAGATGGTAAAGATAACCCTATATGCAAAACAGAAAAAGAGACACAGATCTACAGAACAGACTTTGGGACTCTGTGGGAGAAGGCGAGGGTGGGATGTTCTGAGAGAACAGCATTGAAACAAGTATACTATCAAGAATGAAACAGACCACCAGCCCAGCTTGATGCATGAGACAAGTGCTCAGGGCTGGTGCACTGGGAAGACCCAGAGGGATGGAATAGGGAGGGAGGCGGGAGGGAGGATCGGGATGGGGAACACATGTAAATCCATGGCTGATTCATGTCAATGTATAGCAAAAACCACTACAATACTGTAAAGTAATTAGCCTCCAACAAATAAAAATAAATGAAAAATAAATAAATAAATAAAAGCATGATTACTAGAAAAAAAAATTACAGCTTTTGATCACAGATTGTGAATTTCTTTGCCTTTGAGTGATTTATATGTTTCTAAAATCTTTTGTTACTTTGTTAAAGTAAATAAGCATTATTTCACCATGATCTATAAAAATTATGGCAGATGTAGACAAAGCTCATTCTACATAAACAAAAATTAACCCATCAATTTAAAACATGGCAATAGTCCACTCAAAGTATGGTCCACTCAAATCCACCCTTTGAGTGTACCACTCTACTCAAAGAGTCTACGCAAAGAGTCAGACACGACTGAGCAACTGAATTGAACTCAGTCTACTCCTAAATTGGGGAATTAAAAATGGGTGAATAACTGCTAACCAGAGTCAGGGCTAAGGTAAATCCAAGATGGCCACTTGGATTTTCCCAGCTCCCTGACAAACCTTATTTTTATTTGATGGATTAAAGCCTTCTCTGGCTACAGGATTAATGTCCTCACAAAGGGAAAAAAAAAGACAACACTATGCTTCACTGAATATTAAGTTCTAGCTTTGTTAATTAAGGTCTATTTACTAAGACTCACTTCTAAGATAGTTGTTATATTGCTAAAAGGTTTAATTAGATGGACACCAAGCTATAGTCATTTAACAACTAAGTCAGATGACCTGGGCACGTACCATGCTATACTTCATGGAAGTTCTTGACTTAAATTCTTACTTATGAGCTTACTAACAACTGCTAGCTATATTATATTCTATGTCACCTGTTTCAGAAACTTGTTTCTTATGTTACCAAATGAATGATTAAGCCTATGATAAAATGCTGATATGCAATTCCATATGAGATCAACTATTTTAATAACGTAACTCTAGACACAGGAAGAAGTAACAGGAGGGAATAATTTCTTGGACCAAGAGGCTAGTAAAATATGGATGGTCCAGAGACTTTTGCTACTCACAAGGCCTGGTCTAGTACCAGCACACTGAGTGACCTATCAGTGGAATCTTCACTAGACTTGGGAATGAGTCTTCCCAGCATCATGGGACACAGTGGCCACGATATGCCTCCAACATATGGTCAAAAATGTGGCTATGAAGGGGCCCTGCTGACTGGACATTGGTAACTGCCAGCTGCCTCTACAAAAATTAAATCATGACCACTGCAAGCTGCTGACCTTCAATAGCCCCTAAAAGAAGTTCAGGGTAGAGATCAGAATTAAGGCACTCTGTTCTGGAAAAAACTGGAAGAACAGGCCTTCAGATAGTCAGATGTTTTCAGATCAGGATTTTTATGAGCCCAAATTCTCGAATCCTCCTAGAGAAACACTAATGTTACGGACCACTGTCTGGTCTTGGTTCTCCTGGTGAGCCCCTCAGCAGTTTTTCTACTTCTATTAATCTTTGGGCCATGTTTCTTTAACTTTCTTGTTAAGTTTGTTTCTTCTAGAATACAACAAATAAATCTTCAAATAGTAATACGACTAAAATATCCCCCAGCCAACACCCAGACAACGCTGAACAAGCTGCCTTATCATTCTGTGGACTCTCATCTCCCTCTGTAAATGCACCCTGGCAGAAAGTCGGCACTGGGACTCAGGACCCCACAATGTCCCTGCCCAGCTTGAAGAAGCCCCACTCCCCAGTGACTTGGGTCCCCAGGCCCAAGACAAGGATAAGGTAGGCAGACAGGCAGTCATGAGCAGGGTGTTAAGGGGCCAAAGTTTGGCCCATAAATAAAAAAAGGGCGGAATGTGGAGCCCTATACCAAGGTCACAGGATAAAAACCCCTGGAACTGACGAAGCCCCACAGCAACTGTTGCTATGACCCTCGGGATCTAAACCGGCCAGTACCCTAACCCCATAATATGTAAGATACCCACCCTACTATCCACCCAAGAGCATCCTTACCAATCGCCACCATTCCAGTAGGAATTTCTCTGTCTTAAGGCTATGGAAACTGGCTGCAAGCCTGCAAAAGCGTTTGGCTCTCCCCTGAAATGGCCAGCTGTTTTAACAGCAGCTCCCACCCTAATAAATTTTATTCTCCTCATGCCTGGAAATTATTTTCCAACCCCCACAGAGACCACGACACTTACCACAGGACAGAATTACCACAGGCTCGATCGTACAGTCAGCCGACAGTCAGAATTTTGAACTGGAGAGTGATTCCAAAGCCCAAGCCTGTTACTCAGGAGACTGCAGTTTAAGCCTCCACAAATTGCTCGCTGATTAAAACTGCTAATTATGAGAGGGGAGAAAAAGATGATTAGTCAAGCCATCCAGTTACATCTGGACTCCGGAAGGGGATGAGCAAGAAGGCTGAAGACTAAATACGCCAGAAGCACGATGGGTGGGCAGAAGAAAGCCATAAGGACAGGGGGCTAGGCTAGATGAGGTAAAGAGAAGAGGAAAGGGCCGCTCTGTAGGAGTGCGTCTGGAGGCAGGGGCTGAACGGCTCAGATATGACTGAATTCCCCAACGCTGAAGCCACTGAGCTTCTTCCGCGGCCCTACCGTTGGACTCTGCCGAAGTGGAATCTGAGTAAGCGGTGATGTCCGCAGCCTAGAAGCCCGCTCAACCCGCCTCCCGCAAAGCCCGAGCCGGCTGTCCAAGCACTATTCCGGCTTCCGGATCAAACCTGGAGTGATCGCGCAGCGTACGTTTCCAAAGGAAGCACTAAGGCGAACCAGCGCCGGGGCACTGTTTGCCCACGCTGTCCCAACACGCACGCTCTGCACTCCCAAGACCCGCCTCCCCAAACACAGGGCTCTTCTGAGGGAAACGCGCGTGCGCCCTGTCAGCCAATGGCGTGCGGCCCTGCGTCCGCCGCTCGCCCTCTAGCGCCGGCTCTGCCTCTCCGCTCCCGCCTTCCCGCCCCGCCCCCATCCAAATGTGAGGGCGGATGTGACGACAGCTCCAAGTAGAACGGAGGCGGGTTTCTTTTCGGCGCCTTTCTTTCTCCGGCGGAAGCGATTGGCTGGCGTGGAGCGAAAGAGGCGGGACAAGTTGTCGCGGGTTCAGTGCCGCCACTGGAACCGGGAGATGCGGCGCAGGGGCTGTCGCTGTGTTGGTTTTTATCCGAGTCTCGTCTCTCACTACGGTTCCTTCTGCGGCTTCGATCATGCTGTTACCTTCGGATGTAGCCCGGCTGGTATTGGGTAAGCGCCGGCGCGGGAGGGAGGGGTACTGGATGAGGCTAAGCCGGACGGAAGGACCTTTGGAGCCAGAGGTTTTTCCCAGGGTGGGGAAGCTTTGGGGCTTTGCCTCCCCACCTGCAAGATCAGACTGGCGGTGAATCTTCTTCAGTGGGAGGCTCGGGCGGTTTAAGTTTCTTTATGTGTGAATGCTCCACTCTTCCGAGACTCTGTGGCGAGGGGCGGCTGAAGAGAAACTCCGGGTGGAACACCTGAGGCCCGGATTTGGAGGGAAAGTCAGGCCTGCACACTCAATTAGAATCCTGCAGCGGAGTTGCCTACGTGATGGATGGACTGTGTGTTCTTCAACCTTGGGCTCACTTACCCGTGTCAGAGCTGGGGCCGAATTAGGAAAAATAAAAGACTTCCCCAGCCACCCAGCTTTAGCGAAGGACCTTTCTGACGGCCTTCTCATAACTTGCCTTTAGAGCGACGAATTTGGAACGAATGAAGTGATCCTGCCTCTCTATCCCCCCAGCCTCCTGCAAGAAGTCGTAGAATGTAGAGGTTTGAAACGCCAATTGCATACTTTTAAGACAGCAGCAATTCTTTTTTTTTTTTAATTGGCAAGACTTTTCACTGGAAATGCCTTCCAGTGGAACGTTTTCTAGTTCTAGTTTTTCCTCAGTTTGAAGAGTGACACTGCCAGTTGTCAGGGTGTATTGTCTGTGCAGGAAACGGGTTTTGTTGTTTGTCCCCTGAAAGAATAAAGAGTATTGTATTGCTGGGAATGAGAGCCACATAAAACTCAAAACCGGAGCCAGACTTACAGACATCATATGTGAATGGTTAAATGGTAAACATCTGTTCTAAAACTTCCCTTGGTGTCTAAAGGCTGTTACTAACATTATTTTACTGTCAGAAAAATCCATTTCTTATTCCCTTTTTAAAGTATTCGGCCCTGTCCAAAAAAAGAAAAAAGTTTTTATGCACAGACTCTTGACAAGCACATTTTGCAGGAAACTTTAGAGGGTAATGGTTCTACCATCTGTTTTTGGAGAAAATAATCACTTAAATTTAAGCTAATATTTGTTAATGTTTGGTTAATCTTTTGCACACTTTATCAGAACTGAATATCAACAGTTAACCTACATCTAAGAAGAAAGCTGTCTATTGTAATTGTTATATTGATTAGGCTTATTTGTAAACAGATCCGAAGTAGACTCACAAAATTCACAATAATACTGACATACTTTATTATGGTAGCTGTCTTGTTTGCTTTGTGGGATGTTTAGCAGCATCCCTGGCTTCTATCCATTAGATGCCAGCAGGGACCCAGTTCCCGCCTTCGCCCAATTGTGAGAATAAATAAGTGTCCAAATATTGCCAGTATATTTCCTGGAGGGCAAGGACCACTGGTCTTAAGAAAGCAGTACGATTTTCTAACTGGAATACTTTAAACAAACTTGTGAGTATTCTCCTAGACTTCCTCCTTCTTTAAAAACTGATAAAAATTACAGTCATTGCTTCTTATCCTAAAATTCTTATTTGTCATTCACATTCCATTTTTATTGCCAGAGTACTAACAGTATGCATCCCATTTCTCCTTTGGACTATTTTCATAGTTTCTCATATAGTCTTGCAGTTCATCTTATTTATGGTTACAAAAATCTGCCTAAAGCATTAACACTACATCTCGAGTTCTAATAGTTGAAAGAGTTGTTCACTTACCAAAAATTTCAAGTTGTACAAAAGAGTATATACTACCAAAAAAAACCAATCTCACCACTCTTGCTTTTTTCATTTAGCATTATCATGTCACCACAGAGATGTATGAGTCACAAAACTTAGTAGCTTTAAAACTAAGAGTTTTATTCTTTGCCCATGATTCTTCTGTCAGTACCCCTTCCCTCTCAGTACTCCTTCAGTCCTTCTCATTGTTGCTCCTTTTGTTCATCATGTTCTTGCAGCAAATCTTTGGTTGCTTAGTATGTTCTAGGCACTGTGCCAATTGCTAAAAATAGAGTTCTCCCCTTAGAATTTACATAATTAGGTTTTTTACCCTTACCCACACATACCAAAACACTTTCCTAGACCCCCACCTCTTATTTTATCTAATGCTCCATGTTACCCTTTCACAAGTCAAATTTATTCAAAGAATAAGCTCTGCTTAGTTATGGTACTTCCTTACTTAACTTTCAGTCTTCAACATACTGCACTGACTTTTGTACCTCACTGCTCCATTTGAATAGCCTTGCTACTCAGCTATATCCAGCTCTTGCCTTGCTAAAATTTCTTTAAATATTGTCCAGGTCAAAATATATACATTAAAGTGCCATTTGTTGTTTCTGGGCCACCAGTTTTGGTTTTATTAGTATGTCAGACAAGGTATTCTGCGGACCTGATCTTACAAGTCTCTTTTGCTTGATCTCAAGTTCTCAACATATGCCCTATGCCCCAGGCATTCCAAACTACTTGCAGTTTCTCCAGATGCTCTTGTTAATGTATTTTGTTCCCTCTGCCTGCAATGTTTTTCTTCCTCTCTTCCTGGTACATTTGTATTTAAGGTTCAGGTCAGTTGTAACCTCAAACTGTTTCCAGCAGGTACAGTTGGTACTTTCTCCTTACACGCTCTGGTGGCATTGTAGATTACTTGTATCATACTCTTACTTTGTTTTATTGTAGCTGTGTGTTTACTTATTCTTTTTTTTTAATATGAAATTTAACCATTGTAGCCATTTTTCCAATTCTGTGGCATTAAGTACAATCATATTTTTCTGTAACCATCACCATCATTCACTTGTAGAACTTTGCCTTCCCAAACCAAAACTTACTTTTTGACCTATTTAGTATTCTTCGTTTGTGCGTGCTCAAGTCATGTCCAACTCTTTGCGACCCCATGGACTATAGCTTGCCAGGCTCCTCTGCCCCTGGAATTTTCCGGGCAAGAATGCTGGAGTGGGTTGCCATTTGCTACTCCATTCAGTATTCTTATTCTAGAATTAATGTACAGGCTTCAAGAGTTGTGGGAGGTCCCAAACTATCTGTAAAGCTTTATGTACAGGTGGGGCATTTTTTATAGGTAAAGTATCCAGAACTTTTCTTTAGATTCCTAAATAAATTTGTTCCTTTCTGTATGAGTCAGCATCCATTCTGGAAAACTGAAACTAATCTGAGTATTTAGCATGGAGGAATTTAATGAGGGAATTGGTTACACTGGTGAAAAGCTAAGAAAACAAGCAGCTTACATGAGCCAACCTGGAAGGTGGTAAACAGCAGGAAACCACTCTGATAATCAGGAGGACAAGTAGAGATGAAACCCAGAGGCTGGTTTCATTATGTGAAAACTAGAAGGTAGACTTGTCTGATATGGGAGCAGTAGTAGAGGAAATTCTACGAGGGCAAAGAGGAAGTGGGAGGAAAAGACCATGGCTCCTAGTAACTGCCCTCCACTCTCCCACTGGTGCTTCCTATTGATTGAACCCAGTCAGAAGCTAGCTGACATGGAACCCAGGAAATTGCCTGCAGCGGGGTCAGGTTTCCTGTGCTACAGGACAGAGCAGGGGAAGCAGGAAGAGTAGATTTGAAGGCAAACAACCAGGACCAGCATACCCCACAAAAGTTGAAGAGCCACTGGTTCTGTTCACCTTTACATCACTGTATCATTAAGACATAGATATTTAATAAATATTTACAAAGGTGTAGCTATGATCATGCGGAGAAGGCAATGGTACCCCACTCCAGTACTCTTGCCTGGAAAATCCCATGGATGGAGGAGCCTGGTGGGCTGCAGTCCAGGGGGTTGCGAACAGTCAGACACAGCTGAGCGACTTCACTTTCACTTTTCACTTTCATGCATTGGAGAAGGCAATGGCAACCCACTCCAGTGTTCTTGCCTGGAGAATCCCAGGGATGGCGGAGCCTGGTGGGCTGCTGTCTGTGGCGTCTCACAGAGTCAGACACGACTGAAGTGACTTAGCAGCAGCAGCTATGGTCATGACCTTCCCCTTTGTCGACTGAATGATATCTGTCATTTATTCAGATTCTTTTATTAATTCATAATCATATGTCATTGCTGACATTTACAGCATTTTATGATCCTCAGCCCTTCTGTGTTTTCAGTTGTATTTCCAGCTATTCATCATAGATTCTGTGCTTCATTCAAACCAGGCATGTCCTTCAAACGTGCTCCATATATGCTTTCCATCAGCTTTGTTGACTCATCTCTTCCTTGAAACATGCGTAATATGCCCCAAGTCAGTTTATACTTTCTCTAGCCCCTATAAAATAAGTCTAATTGTTTAACCACCTTTGCTTTTTATTTTATTACAGTTATTTGCATATATTATCTTCTGGGTCCTTGTAGATTATAGCTTCTTCTAGAGAGATTTTCTTTGTTATTTGTGGATCTAGTACTATAAAGCACTGGAAGTTAAGTCTTAAGATCTTAAGGACTTTCCTGCAGTCTAGCAGTTAAGACTCCACCCTTCCATTGCAGGGAGCGCAGTTCCATCCCTGGGCAGGGAACACAAGGCGCATGGAGGAGCCAGGTGGAGGAGGGCATCTCAAACTACTGATATTCTGAGGAAACTATTACAATATGTAAAGGAAATATTTTCAGATAAGGGGATTAGCTCTCTCTTGCTTTCTTCATCAGATGCATCTCTCTTTATCTTTCCCACTCTATAAAAAGAGAGGGCAGAATCTTGGCATCCTAGTTCCTAAAATTCAAAATCCTAGATATTGCCAGAATTTTGTCTTTCCTTTTTCAATTATGTTTTCCCTTCAGTCTATTTTATTACTCATTACTGGGGGCTTCCCAAGTGGTGCTAGTGATAAAGAACCTGCCTGCCAATGCAGGAGACATAAGAGATGCAGGTTTGATCCCTGGGTCAGAAAGATTCCCTGGAGGAGCGTATGACAATTACTCTTTCCCTCTCTATAAATAGGAATAAGAGAGGGCAGACTCTTGGCATCCGAATTTCTAGAATTCAAAACCCTAGATATAGCTCAGATTTTGTCTT